TCAGACAATACCAGAGCCATTTCAGCCATTTTAACCAGCCCGTCCACGCTGGCGACCAGCCGCGACTTCCTCTCCTCCTTAGTCATCCGCTTTATAGCCTCGGCTTCATGAACGACCACGGTCGGAGGGAACCGCTCAAAAAAGCCCTCCTCCTCGAAGCAAGGGGGGAAGGCAAAGGATTGAACAGGACCGGTATCTTCCCCGACATTCGAACCGCCTTCCACGCGGGTCCTTTTCCTCTGGGTCAAAATGGCACTAGCATCGATCTCCTCGACATCCGGATCCGATGCCGCTCCCGAGCTCGACGTCGAATCCACCCTCACCGGCGGAGGAACGGCCGTGCTCGGCGGTGGTCCCATTCTCGTCAATTGCGGGGCAGGCACGACCTTCTTGTTTCGCCTCTGGCCGGTTGACAATTTCAGGAGCCTCTCGTGTCGGCTGGCCATCGTACCTGCACGAAGTAAAAGAAAAGTCAGTATCGAGCAAAACGCGTAAATAAATGACGAGTAAAGAATTTCAAACAAACAACCTAACAGGCGGGCTGCCTGCCTATAGGTCGAACATTCCACCAACGCCTTGGTGTCGATCGGGCGAGCCTCGAATGTCGGGTAACCGTCCTTGTCGAGGATGTCATTCCCTTCCCGTGTAACCCACTGGGCGGGATGAAAACTGTCGACGAAGTTGCAGAGAGCCGTGTACGCCCGCTGATCCTCCGTGCACATATCCCCGACCGCGGTATGAAAATAGCCGGTTCCATGCTGGAAGTGTCGAGACATCCAGTACACCGGGAACTTAGCCCGACGTCCTAACACGGGGTTCCCTTCATCGGTCAACATTGCTTCCCCGTCATCGTCGCTGACCGGCCCTTCCTCCTCGAAGAGGGAATCTACAGCAGAGTCGGTGATAGGGTGTACCACATACCACTTATCCTTGAACCCCCTCACAGAGTCCATGTACATCCTAAACAGTCTCCTCGACTGCTTCAGGGACACCCAGCTGTGCTTCCCTCCTCGGGACTGACGCTGTAGGTGGAAGACCCTAAAGAAGAGAGGGATGGTCGCCCCTATCCTTAAGAAGCGACACGTCAGCTCAAACGCCCGGATGAAGGCGAGAGAGTTAGGGTGTAACTGGGACGGGGCCAGCTCCAAATGCGTAAAAACCCCGGTCTCAAAGTCTGTGAAAGGCAGCCGCAAACCCAAATCTTTAAACGCGATCTCGTACATCGCAAAGCTGTAGTCCGGGTACATCGAACAAATTCTGGCGTTGGTCGACGGCAGCATGACCTCGAAATTCGGTTGAAAGTCGGGCTGTTCCTGCCCCTCTTCGATAGCGATGAACGGATGTCGGTCATCCCGACTGTATATCGACGCCGTCCCCCGAGGCTCGGCGCCCACCCATTCCAGCGATGGGTCGGTCACAGTGTCTATAAGGGTGGCCGACTCGTCGGCACTTTGTTCTTCGCTGTCGCGACGACCGGAGGAGCTCGGCTCATCCGCCATGGTTACCTGCAGAGCACGGGAAACCAATCAGATTGAGCATGAAGTCCTATGCTCGACATAATCATGTCGTCCATACACTACCACAAGTCCATTTTCACAAGTGGATGCCTCCCCGACTCTCCTGAATCCAGTGTTCTTCCACAAACCAACTGCGCGGCCACTCTTCAAGCATATCGATCCGAGGTATGAACATGGCGAGCCGCATTATGAAGCCCACGGCCACGACCATAAACATACCGGGCACCGGCATGAGTCAGGCGCCCAGGATCACGAAGACCCCGGGCAGCTCTGGAGTTTTCACCTAAAACTACGAATGTGTCGGCCAAAAGTATGCGTTTGCCGGTCCTAGACATGAATCTGTCGGGCAAAACACGAGTTTACCGGGCTAATCCCACACTAACGGTCCTAAAACATCTACACTTTCCAAGAATCATGCATTCTAAAACAGGAAAATAAAGAAAATGGATCACTTACTTGGATCAAAGTTGGGATTCGGCTAAGAAATGAAGAATCTGAGACGGGAAGTCACGGTTGGAGAGAGTGTTGAGAGTTGCAACGAAGAGAGCACGAAGAACGGAAAACGTATTATGGGGCCCAAGGACCCTATTTATAGTGATGACGTGGAATACCAAACGTCACCTCGTTCAGCCACGGACTCCGTCTCCTCGACGCACTGCACCCAACGCAATGATGGCCCTACCCCCCTAGGGTGGCGGCACGACTCCCAAAAGATGCCTCGCGTGCTCGACCAACGTGCCCGGTACGGATCCTCCACGCATCCATCACCGAGGACGTTCCCGAGCACGGCACGAGGAGGCCCCTCGAGGGCCCACGCCTCCATTCCGGGCACGAGACCTCAGCGACGGAACAACTTGGTTTCAAGTCATGGCTCCTCGCAAAGGAACCACGACTTGGGGGGCTCCTGTTCTGGACTGGGCCCGACAGGCCCAAAAGCATTACTAAGGCCCAGTCCAATGGGACTCACTAAGGACCACAATGGGCAAAGGGGGACACGTCCATGCCCGACACCCTGATGTCCACCTCGACATCTCAGTGTCCAGCCCCACGCGACGAAGTCACGTGGGACAGACTGCCGTCCAGCTCTATGCCCTGGCTTCCAGCTCGACACTCGTTGTCCAGCTCGGGGTCTTGGCGTCGAGCTCGACACCATGATGCGCTGCTCGACATGGACTCGAGCTACCTTGCTAGGGCAGACTCAGTCACCATTGCCCCAACGGTACTCCGTAAAGACCGCGTCTCTGTCCGCCCGCACTTCACGCAGCACCTCCAGGAAGGGGACCACGTGCTGGTCCCCACTACCCACGTAGAACCTGGCAGTTCCTCCATTGGGCCAAATCCGCCCGGCCCAATGATGGAACCTTGGCCCAGCGCTGGGGGCTATAAATACCCTCTGTTTCCAGAGGGTCAGGTAATCATCATTTCTAACCTCAACTCTATTATCTGCTAGTACTCCCACTGACTTAAGCATCGGAGTGCCTTACAGGTACCCCCCCCCCCCCCTCCTCGTTCTAAAAGCCTTCAACTCGGAGCAGCCGTGACGGTCCAAACCTTCTGATCAGGTCAGATCAGCTCCTAATGGACAACAGAGTCTACAGTCCTCTTTGAAAACACCGTGTCTAGTACATAGATATGTAGGACAACGACATCCCAATAGAAACCTCGTTTGAGTATGGTATGTAATGCCAACTCTTGCGTCTCAGACGCCACGGGAGCCGACAAGACTATCCACTCTAAATCTGTGTGAATACTGGCCTGGATAGTGGGACTTTTACCTCAATAGTAACATCTCACCCAACCTGAAAAAACAAAAAATCCAACAACCAACATAACATATATCCAGAATAGTGGAAAGGAATAAAATACAAGGCGTGAAATAAATAAACATCAAGTGAAGCATATAGATAAACACTCAGAGAAAAGAAAAAACAAATCTAGGATTGACCCACATAGAGATGGATCTCCAGCAGAGTCGCCAATTGTCATGTAACGGTAAAAAGTTGATACTAAGTGATTGATTGACTTAACTCATTCAGTGAAAGTCGCCACCACACTTTATTGTTTCCAAATAGAAATGAGAAAAGTGTGAATAAAACCCAAAATAAAAATAGAGATCAAGGTACGGGGGCCGATTATGCAAAGGGAATGTATTAACACCATAAACATTTACGGTACATGATCCACTATGTTTGTTCTAATCAAAAGAGTGTGTTATCTAAGGCATAAACTTACTAAAAGGAAATGAATGAAAGAGTTGTTAAAGAACAAAACGAGAGTTTTTTATTGTTGTGCTCGCCTCTGTTTTGAAACCTCGTATCTATGTATCCCTGTCGTGCAATATAGAATTAGAGTGTCGTAGTTCTTCTGAAAAAGAACAAAACTGAGTGTGTTGATTGATTTTAAATGAAAAGACAAGTCATTATTTTTAAGGAGAAGACACGACTAATCGTCCACAAAGTATGAGAACGAAGGAAAATGCACCAACATGAGGGAGGGTTTGGACACACCTCTAGTACTCAAGTGGAAATGTCGGCATCTTTACAACCATGGGGATAGTGGAATGACATCTCGATTATAAGTGACTCATGTCTATTCTTGAAAAAGGTTTTAAAGGAGAAAAGGTGCGCGAGGGCACAAAAAGGTTTGAATGAGGTTGAAGTATTTTGTTAGCTTGAAAAATGATTTGGCGATTTGAACCAGATTAAAGACTATGATATGAGAGACTTTGGACAGTCGAGTCAGACACCTCGTATACAAAGTAACTCCACAAGTGCTTAAGCCTCGTCACACATAGTTCGCCTCTTTATTGCTAAATGTTTTGAGTTTTTATTAAGAAAAATAAGTTTGAGAAAAAAAAAAGTCGCTTGACAAAGTCAAGGTTTATTATGAAAATGGTTAAAGTTTGAAAAAATAAGAAGGTTTTGAAAAAGATGAGAAGGTTTTGAAAATTGAAGAATGGGAGGAGATGAAGAGATTATCCTATGTACAAGAAAAATAAAAGCTAAGTTAAGGAAAGGTCTGACCAAACAAGAAGCTGAAACTTGATATAATAAAGTCAACATAGAATTCTCATCTTTTGGATTAAAGCCACACAAAAATAATAAACCAAGAGTATACCAAGCTTCCAATTAAAATAAATCACAAGCAGAAAGCAACATAGAAAACCAATGTATCAGATAAAGCTCGAAGCATGGGATGATCATCAAATCTCAGATAAGAATCTCTACATCAGATGAAACTCCATACCAAAAGATCAAACCAAGATAACAGATATATAACCCAAAAAGTCTCATGTGAAGTAGAAATCAAAATCTGAATGGGTTAGAAACATGTACCAGAGCTAAATGAGTACATGAAATATGAAGTGCAAGTTTAATTAATTTATTAAGAGTTGATTAAATTAATTAATTAGATTAAGAAAAATTAATTATCCAAACTAATTAATTTTTAATAACAAAATCAACTAATTAAGTCGACTTCTAATTAATTATCTAAAAACAACAAAGAGGTCCTAAAGGAAGTGAACACTTGAGCCATCTTTGAAACCTTAACAAATCATAAACAAAGTTAGTAACACAAGATGAATTGTAATAAACCAAATGAAATTTGCTTTAATTTACATGGATAACCAAACTTAAACCAAAATCAACATACATGTATGAACGGAAAGGCAAACGCAAGAATCAAGGATTAAATCACATTTATCATCAATTGAGAATTAACAAAGTAAGTAGTAAAGACAATTAAGCCTCAAAAACAACTCCAAGTACTTAATCCATTCATTAGAAATCAAAACTAATTAGCATAAACTCATGTTGCTATTCAAGACATATTCAAGACATGAAAAACAAGATTATAATTAAGCCTCAATCAATTAAATCAAAAACCATGCGGCAACTAAACATAAACAATTATGCCCCTAAAAATCCGACTCAAACATGTTTGAAACCAAATAGAAACATCTCACAATTAATACCAAGTTTTAACACTAAAAAACAACAACTAAAATTAACCAAAAACAAGTCATCAACATCTCTTGAATTAATTAAGGCAACATGGTATCGACATCACAACTTACTCAATCTTAGCATGAATGACACATAGAGAATAGTATCGATGACAACACTCAATAAACTTGATTCATGTAGCATGGTAATCTTTAATTCAACACAAATGACATGCTATCAATTTATGTTTCAACTCAAGTAAACCGTGACAACAACTTCATCACTTATTACTAAGATTTCAATTAATTGTAAAGTTCTCTTTCAAACCATAAAACTCTATCATCTTCAATCAAAGTTATCAATGATTCAACATTTAAACCAAAAACAACAAGAATATCATCCATTTTCTTTAATTCTAACAATAATGTCATCATGTTCAAACAAAATAACATCATCACTAGTCTTCAACAAGTATATTCAATAATCTCAAAACAACAACACCACAAACTTCCACACTCATTCAATGGTTTCAACAATAATACTATCCATAACTAAATTCAACATTCGAAAAACTTTCATAAATTACAACAGGAATTTGTCATTCAAATTAAACTAAAACTCAATAACATCCACACAATTTCATCATCAATTATGAAAAACTAGAAATTAAGCTTATAATAAAAATAATGATGAAAGAAATTACCCTAGTCTCAAAATAAGAGGTTCTAACCGTTGGAACTTTGGAGGACTGTTGTGTAGTTGTTTCAGTGGTTGAAAGAATGTAGCAGGGAGTACGGTTGGACGTGGGTTGTCGTAGGTTTGAGTGGTTGTTTAAGCAGATAGAAGAGGCGGACGGGAACAGGGAGTTGAACACGGTTGGAAGAAATGGACGAAGGAAGTAGCTCGCATGTGGTGAAGGAGGTTGTTCGGTTCTGAGGTGAAGACGACATGATAACGTGAGATAAAGATGAGGTCGCATGGGTGAGTTGATGTCGGATGATGTTGATGGTGGCAGGAAGAGAGGACTAGCGATGGAGAGGGGAGGCCTTGAATGGGCATGACAGAGGGAAAAGATAGAGAAGGAGATTGAAGTGGTGGACCGGTTGAAGAAGAGAAATGGGTTTCGATTTGTTATCTGAATTTTCGTTCTGCCTCCTCTATCCCATAACATTATCTCAACATTACTCTTATACTCACAAATTAGGTTAGAAAATTTTTTAAATGTCAAAAATTCCCCTTTGATAAATCAAACTAAAAACTTAAAAAGAATAAAAATAAATACACTCAATATTAATTTTTTCTGAATAAAAAAAGACACCTAAAATAATCAAAAATGATAAAAAATAGACACTTAATTAATTGGAAAAAAAGTAAAAGAACATATTAAAATAAATTACGAATCACAAAGATTAATAGAAAAGACTGCAAATGATCAAAATAGAAATAAAAAAAGGAGAATAAGAATATTCAGTTGAACAAACGCTGACACTTAAGAACGAGACTGCAAACTGTACTGAAAAATAAAGTGGGCACACCGGCATGATCTACGCGAAATAAAGATTCATAAAATAGTCAGATAAAGGTGAAAACTCGAAATATTTTGCTGCTAAAGAGGTAAAAACGCATGACGTGAGACATCGGGTATTTTTTAACTCTAAAATGATGCAAATGTTGGTTTAAATTGACTTTTGGTCAACCTAAATGCATAGATGATCGACTAATGATGCAAATGTGATGAATGAATGGCCCTGGGTCAAAATTGGGGTATGACCCACTTGTCATAGGTATTCTAATAGGACACATCCAGGTATTCATAAAGATCATTCTCATCACACAAGTGGTATAAGAGCTCTGGTTCATTCCGTGCTTAAAAAGTTCTTATTATATTATAGCTTTCGAACCTAAAGGGCGTACAATAGAGAGTTCATCTTCACCGGTGAAAACTACAGTTATTGGAAAGCTTGTATGCGTATCTATATCAACTCGTTTGATAAAGGAGTATGGGACATCATCATCAACGGTCCTAATTAAATTAAGATGACCAATGATGAAGGTATTGTCATACCTAATTAACCAGAAGCATAATGGGAGGAAAATAATAAGAAGTTGTAGTCACATGATTGGAAGGTATAAAATATTCTCATACCCACATTAGAAGTTGATGAATATTATCGTGTTTCTCATTGTGAGACTACAAAATCTATGTGAGACTCATTACAAGTTTCTCATGAGGGAATTAATGAAGTCAAACAAGCTAGAGTTAATACATTGAATCAAGAGTTTGAATTATTTTGCATGAAGCATGGTGAAACCATTGTCGACATGCAAAAGAGGTTAACCCATCTCATTAACTATTTGAATGCACTTGGGAAACCAATTTCCAATGAAATTTCTACTAATAAAGTTTTGAGATGTCTTAACAGGGAATGGTAACATAAGGTTACTGCAATCAAAGAAGAAAATTATCTTACAACATTAGACCTTACAATTTTATTTGGCAAACTTGAAGAACATGAGCAAGAGTTCACTTGCTTAGAGAAGCGTGAGAAGAAGGTTAACAAGGAAAAGGAGGTAGACATGAAATCTATTGATTTTATGGCTTCTAGCTCTAAGTACTCTAATATAGAGCAAGATGATAGTGGAACAAGTGATGATGATTGTTCGGATGATGAAGAAATGATATTTTTTTATTAGAAGATACAATATGTATATCAAGAAGAACGAAATGAAGCATTCCGACAAAGGTTTCATCAACTATAGAAGGAATTAAAATTCCTCAAGGAAATATGAGAATAAGAAAGAAAAATAAAAAAGTTCATGTTACAATTGTGGCAAGTTCGATCGTTATAAGCCGGATTATCCATTGATTGATAAAGATAAAGGAAAGGGTTAACACAAGAAATCTAGCAAGTCTAGAAGAGCTTATATTGCTCGGGAAAGTGATTGTTACTCCTTAAGTCATGAAGGCTCAATGATAGCGAAGAATCGAAAAATGTTTCTCTCTCAGCCTATTATTGTGAAAAGAAGTAAAAGAGTATAAGTCATTCTAAAGATAAACATGTTGATAAATTGTCTTATTCCATATTGCAAGTTTCTTTTGAAAAGCTACATGGAGAAGCCATATACGCTTTTAAGATTTTCATACTTAGAAGCTAAAGTTTTAGAAACCAAAAAACAAATGAAAACTCTTAAACAATCCATGTTATATATTTCAAAAGATAAAATAACAATGAGGAGCCTTCTTGGTTTGATTGTGAAACTTGTCACATTTGGAAAAAAGAGGTTAATACCTTAAAAGCCAAATTGAACATGGATTTAGAACAAAAGTCATTTATGCTATTGATTCTACCAAATTTAAAATGTCTTTGAGTGTACCATACAAGAGGTACAAATTTTTTGAAAAGGAATCAAATATCAATAATTCCTCTCACCATCATTTGACTTGTCACTATTGTTCCAAGAAAGGTCACACCATTGCCAGATGCAAATTTTGAAGATATTTTATTCCTTAAAGTGATTTTCAATGGTTTCCTAAGTGCAACATGATTTTCACTCACGCTCAAGGACCCAATGAAAATTGGATACATAACACTCTTAATTGATTTTGTAGGATAAATATCTTAGCTCCGTTGAAATAATATGGGTTCTTGATAATGGATTTTCAAGGCGTGCGATGGGTAACACTTCCCTTATTCATTGACTTTGTGGCAATGAAGAAGGGGTTTGTGACCTATCAAGACAAAAACAAGGATGTCATACTTGGTAAAGGTAGTGTAGGTAAGTCCTTTTTCTACTACTTGTTAGAACATAGTTTGATTCTGCAACCCTCATAAGAGTTTTGATGATAACAAACACAAAGAACAAATATGCACTCTAAATTTGTGTTCTATGTTGTACAAAAGTTCTGACTTAAACGGCATCAGAAGTTAAGCCACAGAAGCACTCAAGCTGAGTAATCAGAATATTCTGAAGTATGATGATTAGAATATGCGCTAAAGAGAAAGATATCCTGATTCTGAACGGAAGTCCAACACACTAACAACACCTTATGTTTCTGACTTCCCAAGTTCTGAAGCAAAGCATCATGTAATATTCCTAAGTTCTGAAGCGTTACTTTTCCATTAAGGCAGTATCATTTACAACGACTACAATCAGACAAGAATCTTCTTATTATGGAAAGAGAATTAAGTGTCTATTTTATCATGTTTCCATTTGGACAGACTGCCACGCCTATATAAACAAGCTCAAAGGATAAATTGTTCACGATTTTACACAACTACTCGATACAATCTCAAAAAGCTGCAAAAGTTATATTCATACTATACTCCAAATTTGTGTAATACCTCACAGTAGTGATACAATTTTTATAACGAAAAACAAATAGTACACAGTGAATCTTTTCTTTTGATTAAGTGAATTTCCTTGAGATAAACCGGATTGTGGTTGTACTCAAGAAGACTTTGGCAGTTGTCAAAGTAGAATTGTAATCAGTTTGATTAGTGAATTAAGTCCTTGTTGGAGAGAGGCGAAATCACCTTGGCGGGTGGACTGGAGTAGTTTGAGATCAAGCGAACCAGGATAAAAATTATCGTGTCTATTGCTCTTGTTTTTTAAGTTTCAATTCAACCCCCCTTCTTGTGTTTTTCACTTCTTCAATTGGCATCAGAGCGCCTGGTTCTGAGTTCATACACTTAACCGTGTCAGTACAAGATCTAAGCTTTAGAAAAAATACTATGGTGGGACCAAGCCAAAACATCAGCAATGACTATCATGACGATAAGGATAGAATCAGCAGCAAACCTCCAGTCTTTAATGGAGAAAATTTTGACTACTGGAAAGATAGAATTGAGAGCTTCTTTCTGGCTCATGATACTGACTTATGGTATATGGTAATTGATGGATAAATGCATCTAGTGGATGAAAGTGCTCAAAAGATTGATAGAAAAAGAATGTCTGACCAACAAAAGCATGACTTCAGAAACCATCATAAGGCCAGGACAATTCTTCTCAGTGCCATCTCATATTCAGAGTATGAGAAGATCTCAAACAGAGAGACAGCCAAAAACATGTTTGACTCTCTGAGAATGACGCATGAAGGCAACATATAAGTTAAAAAACCAAGGCCCTTACGCTCATTCAGAAATACGAAGCCTTCAAGATGGAAGAAAGTGAATCCCTAGAAGCAATGTTCTCAAGGTTCAAGATTCTAGTTGTTGGGCTGAGAGTTCTTGACAAAGGGAATTCTACTGCTGATCACGTAAAGAAGATCATCAAAAGTTTACCAAAGCAATGGAGGCCAATGGTAACTGCTCTTAAGCTGGCAAAAGATCTCAACAAGATATCTCTGGAGGAACTTGTTAGCTCCCTCAGAAGCCATGAGATAGAGCTATAAGATGACGAGCCTCAAAAGAAAGGTAAGCATTTAGCATTAAAATTTAACAAAAAACTTGATTCTAAGGTTTTACAGGCTATGGAAGATACCTCTGATGGATCGTCATCAGAAGAAGACGAATTTTCTCTTCTCTCTAGAAGGGTCAATCAGTTGTGGAAGCAGAGGCAAAGAAAATTCAGAAACTCCAGAAGATCAGGGAATCAAAATGAGTCCTCCACTGGATACAAAAAGTATTAGCCCTCCTCTGGACACAGAAGGTCTGAAGCTTCTTTTGGTCACAGAAAGTCAAACAACAGGGACATCATCTGCTATGAGTGTAATAAATAAGGGCAATACAAAAGTGATTGTCCAAGGCTTCAGAAGGAGAAGCCCAAAAAGAAGTTTTTCAAGGAGAAGAAGAAAAGCCTCATGGCAACATGGGATGATTCAGATACTTCTGACGCAGACTCAGAGTCAGATGATGAAAGAGCCAACACTGCTCTTATGGCAAATGTGATAGAAGACAGCGAAGCTTCTGGGTCAGACTCAGAATCAGACACAGAAGAGGTATTTCCTGACTTTACTGTTAATTTTACTGAATCTAAACTAGGAGAAAGTCTGAGTGAAATTCTGAAAAGGTATCACCAACTCATAGTCAAATTCAAGAACCTGAAAAAAGATTTTGTTTCTGACTCTGAAGAAACTTAAAGTCTTAGATTAGAAAATTCTGAGTTAAAAGAAAAGATTTCAAAACTACAAAATGATTTACAAAACTCTCAGAAGGAAGTAATCTCAGAGGC